ATATATATATATATATATATATTGTATTCAGATAATTTAGCAGTGTCAATTAAAAATATGCATCAGAACTGGGGCATTTTTCAGTATTGAATTTAAAAAAGCATAACCATACATACGATGTATAACATGTGCTTTGTATAAAAAAAAGAAGTTTTAAGAAGAAAAAAAAGGAGAAAAAAAAAGAAAAGAATTTTACCTGGACTGCAGAAGGTCATTTTTGTAGGATGACTATATTCACCATATAGATGAGATCCTAAATCTCCCAAATTCACGGCTCGGACACTCAATTCATAAACAGTTTCATCTGGCTCAACAACGTTGCACTCTCTCTTCAAGGACAAAGAGCTGGAAGAGTTGACGACATAATGCATGCTTTTGCCAGTGTCATTGCTGTATAGTTCTACTTCATAGAAATTTATGGGTCCATTTGGAGGGTTTGGAGGGTCCCAAGTGATGTTCGAAGTAGAATCAATTTGCTCCACTCTTGGTTTATTCACAGGACTAGGATCTATGGAGAAAAATCAATCAGAATCATTATAGGCTGAAAGAACTTTTTAAACTGAAACTTGACCTATTATTGAAGCTTTTTGCTTTAATGAAATAATAAACAAGACTACAGCAAAAGAATGCAAAATTCTAGTTTTAAATTATTAAATTAGCGTTATTATAAAAAAAAATTATGAATAATTAGTTCACAATTGTTAAAAACTGTAATTTGATAATCACAGTACATTCTGTGAATGATACAGCATATATTCTAATAAAAACTTTGAAAATGAATAAAATGTTAAGTTTTTCGTCTTCTTCAGAACGGTTTAGAGACTTTACATTGCTTTATAGACAATTTCTATAGTCTCTATAAGTCTTATAATCTCTCTGAAATTTTGAAATTCATAAATTTCTATTAACTTTCTGAACTGCATACTTCTTAAAAAAACATAATAATCTGGTGTTGATCATGGCCTTTTTGACAATGGAATTCCATTTTCTCCCATGTGATGCATTTTGATTCCTAGTTCTTAAATTTAAGATCTTGTTCAAGGCAATCAATTTATCGTAATTTTGGTCTTCCTCTAGATCGTGCAAAAAAATGTTTCGACCATAAATCTGTTGACTTTCTTTCAGATCTTTCTGGTTTTATTTTATAGGGTCCTGAATAAAAAATGGTATAGATGCTATTTTTTAGAAACTAAGATTAAGAATTGAAAAATAAATATTTCTATGACTTAAAATTTGTTCAAAAGACAATACAAGTTAGGACCTATGCAGGGTGCAGAGCCAAATTTTTCAACAAAAAATAAGCGCCTTTTAAGTATTCAAAACTTATTTTTAAGCGCTATATAACATTAACATAATGCAAAATAATTTTCAAAGACTGTACATGATCATGATAAAATAACTATAGTTCTAGTTCTAGTTTCTGTTTTCTTGATTATGTTAGCCTTTATAAAATGATCAAGAGATTCTTTCAGTTTTATATCAGAGGGTGGAAAATGAAGCCTAAAATTGAGAATATCTTCTAAAATGCAGCAGACTTGCACATGAGAGTGCAATAATCTCACCGAAGCTCAGTAAACACACATGCGGACTCGCACGTAATTCATTAAACATGTAAAATGATTGGAGCTTTTAGACACTATGGGAGGAAAGTCCAAAGAAATGGATTATGGTTTAATAAATTGTGAAAACATTGAATAAAACAATGTGAAAACAATTTTCGGGTAATACATAATAAAAACCGACATGGTAACGAAAAGAAAATTTCAAAAAGGGAAAATTAAGCACTTTATAAAAACACCCACTGAAAAAGCACCCTTATGGGCTTTAAAAATACGAAAATAAGCACCTTTTAAAATGCTATGTATATATAGGCTACGTAAAAGAATACAAGGAACAACTTTCAAAACTGTTTTATCAAACACACAAAAAATAAAAAAAGCAAACAGGAGACTCACTTGAAATTCCAGTGAAAACATAAACAGGAGTGGATAACTTGGAGCAAGCCTGTTGGACACAAGCTGACACTTGAATGGAATAGTTTGTATAGTAGTGGACAGAATTCTTAATTCTGACCCTGCTTTCATCCGGTTTTACTTCCTTCCGTAGAGTTGAATCTTCAGATGAAGACTCGTTGTAGTATATTTCGTACTTGGTAATCACTCCATTAGGTGTTGTCGGAGGATCAAATATCACCTCTATTTCAGCGGAATAATGATCAACGGGAACAACAGACGCAATGACATTCCTCGGAGAATCGCTTGGAGCTGAAATAGAATAATTACATTAATAATAGTATAAACTTAAAATATATATTGTGTATTTCTGAATTAAAGTTGAGATATTTTAGAAAATGTATTGTGTGTTAAATATTTTCAATTTACCAAAAAAGTTTTCGAGATATAGCGAAATACGCAAAATATAAAATTGACATTAAGGGATTCAAACTTTGAAGCGCTCTCCTGATTAAACTATTAAGACCCTATTTCATAGATAGAGGCACCCTCCTATATTTAGGGGGTCAGAAATCCTAATCTGTCAACAAAAAAAAAAGTATGTTTATTCAGAGGAAGTACGTTTTTGAGTCTGATTTCGTAATTTAAAATATCGTCTGGACTTATTAATTAGCATATCTGAGGTTACCCCGGTGAGCCTTTATGAATGAGTCTTAGTGAAAATCTGATCTTTATATCAAATGTTATTAAGGGTGGTCTGTTATATATTTTGCACACTACATATATAAATTTCCAAGATAACCATGATTTTTTTCCAGATTATTTACCAGTTTTGAATTTTGGGTGAATTTCCAAATAAAAAGTGTACTCTTTGGCTTATACATTGATCGTCTTATATTCAGAAATAAACAGTAAATAAATTGGGATTTATTCTTTTGATCAAATTAGAAAGTTAGTCCATTGTGAGCCAGACACAATTACATTGCCAATGAAATTAATGTGGCAACGTAGACAGCATTGTGCGCAGGCTGCTTTTACTTTTCTGACAAACTGGTACCCATCCATCTGACGCCGGGTGGGTTTTAAGTTGCAGATGGGGATCGATCTTCAGTTTTTTTAAATGAAAGTTCAGCGCATAAACCACTGAGCCACTGCAACTTGTCAATATAACAATACAAAAGGCAATTATCACATAGAATTTAATCGAAACTTATTTACTTTAGGGTGAAACCCGTTAAAAACAGTAACATACATTAAAAACACATCTAAAATAGAAAATTAAAACTGCATAATATACCTCAATAATTTATTAAAAGATTAGGAAATAAAAAGAAGTGGAGTAAAAACTTTCACGAAAAAAGGTAGATTTCAAAATGACTAAATCAACTAGTTTAGATAAAGAAAAAATTAAAAAAATTCTTTATTAAATACCATAATATACAGAGAAAAAAATAGAACAAAAAGTTATCACTTTAAAAAAAAATAAGAATGATCATGCATGTTAATAAATATTCAAGTAACCAAGAATAAGCGTGCATAAAATGATAAAAACAGTCTAATATTTATTTCAGATTTAATGAAATTACCAGATGTCATTGTAGATTCATAAGCATAATCACTGTTTTCGCTCCAACCACTGTTCGTCAGAACTCTAATGAAAGCCACATAACAAGTATATGGCTTCAAAGAGCTCAGAATATATTCAGTTCTCGAAGAATCAGAGACTGTCACATTTGACCAACCTAAAATCAAAATTACTTATAAACAATAATGAAACAATGCATAGAAATATATTTTTTCTAACATACATATTTTTTTCATCCTAACTTAAACAACAAATTTATTAGGTGGTCAATATTTTTTGTAGTAGGAAATGCCACATCTTTTTTCTTTTTACTATTATCTCGAAATCCTGTTTATTTTTACTACAACTCTTTAAAATATTAAACAAAATTGAAATATGCCTAGTCTTGTCTTGAGCTTTAATATTGGATACAAAAAAGTACAAGAAAAAGCTTCTTAACAAAAAGATATAAGTTAGTAGGCATCTGGATAACAAAATGTTTAAAACTTTGGAATATTTGCATGGTTTGTAATGTTTGATGCTTGATAAATAATAAATTTAATATTTGTATTGTATTACAATAAGATTTTTATAATTAAGGGCTTCCTACTCACTTTTTGGTAAGTTGGTTTGAAAACTTTCACTATATTCAATATTGGAAAAAAATTATTTAAGGAATTTTTTATGTTCTTGAAGAAAATAAGGAAATTAACTTTAAAGTAAAACTTTCTTATAAAAAGAAATTTTGATAGAAATAGGAAAAATGCAAGATTTTATGAACAGTATAAGCCCTAAGTTATCGTGTTTAAATAGAACAATAGAAGGTGCACCCTATTTTATACTCTACCCAGGGGTCGATGTAGACCAGTTTGAGGTCGATCCAATGTAAGGGATAGGTGAATGAACACCAATGCCATTCAATCGCAATAATTTTAAATAAAAATTTGGAGATATTAAAAATATGTATATCCCCGGAATGGATTATCATGCCACTTTCTGCTTAAGTTAGAAATATTGACAGTCACTTACAAAATGAAGTAATTAAACTAATAGTTAAACTTGAGGCAAAGATGCCTCTTAATAAACTGTCAGTATAGATTTGACAAAATACACAAAATATCACACAAATATATCCAAAACTTTTAAATGCAGCATTTCATTTTTTAATTGTATTCTCAAACTCATATATGGGTGAATCTGGTTTTAATCATATTAACTCCATTTTAACTAAACAGATAAATAAATTGAATATTAAGAGCTGAGACAATTTAATACTGAAACTAATAAATTTTAAACCAAACATTTCTGATCAAGCTAAGCGTCGCCAAGCAAATCCTTCGAATTAATCTAAGCAAACAGTTGATTTTTGTATAATTCAAATACATTATTTAAGAAACAAGTAAGTTTTTTTCATATTCTTAAAAAAAAAAATTTTTTTTTGAGGGGGTGATCGAAAAAGTTTGATGGCCTTCGTTTTAACCTGAATATCATTCAACAGAGGTCATTGTAACAATGGACTAATTTTGATCCTCTGCAGGGGGGATGGTTCCCCTGCTTTGGCAACTCGACGACCTACGCGTGAAGTTGAGCAATTTGCGGTAGAACAGTTTAACGAGGACCAATATTGCACAACCGTGGTTCCTACACAGGCTGATCAAAGTGGTCACACACTCGTTTACTGACCACAGCCAGTGATGCCTTACTTCAGTGTTCTACTGCAAACCACGTCTTTACGATCAGTCCACAGCGATACGCAATCATATTATAATAGTGAACAACAAACAAATAATTACACTGTCATATTTCTATACATAAATTGATTGGATTTTTTTTTATTTTTGGAGTTAACAGCTATGCAATTTGTCTCTCTCTTTAATATATATTTAAAGTTACAATTTGCATAAGTAAACAAAATAATAACTAATTTCAGATAGTAATAACATATAAGTAAAAATTCAAAATAAAAAAAAATGAAATATCTCGCATATATTTGAATACCATACTCGCATATAACAGAACTGTCACAAGGTAGTCTTAATTATTGAAATTCTCAAAACAGAGAATGAGCTCAACAAAAATTAATTTTGAAAAGGAGTTTTAGGAAATATCAAATTTAACAAGAATTTCTCTAATATATTTTGTATGTAACATACACAGAAGAATTTTTAATAAAATCAATCCATGACCAAGAGTAATGAGATAAAAAAATCCAGTAAAATTGATAATTTTATATATGATCATAACAATTACAACCATTAACCTCCTTTTATTAAACAATCAACAAAACACAATTAATTATTTTTTTTTACATAAATTTTTAAAAAAATTCAAATTTGTCTACGTACCAGTCTCACATTTCCAATCAGAGTCCACACATTTTCCAGGATAGGAACAATAGGAAATTAAATATTTTTTAATAACTTTTTCTTGAGCTTTACAAGATAAGGCCCATTGAGCTCTAAGACTAGTAGCATTTTTAATTGTTAATTTCATTTCGCTGACCGAATATCGAACTGTATAAAAAAAGAAAAGAATAACACTTAAAGTAAAAACTTTACAAGATATTAAAAACTGTTTTAAATAATAAAGATAAATGTTTAATTACATAAAAATGTGTTGATTTACATAATATCGTTTAACATACCTATTTCACATATTTTTACCTTCAAGTGAAAATGAATAACAAATTGAGTATCAGGATGAAAATCAATTCTATTTTTGATTTATTTAAATAATTTTTTTAATTTTCAGCTACACATTTTATGACGTTGCAAATTTACAAAATCTGCATTGCTATAACACCAAACATATGCTGGTTGAACACTTTTTAGTTACATTGCTTTGAACAAATTATTAAATTTTAAGCTATGTCACAAAAAATTAGGTGAAAAGTTGTATAATTTATAATAAGAAAAGAACAAAAGGGAACACAGCCCTTTTTTGTGTGCATGAATACTAACCTGAAACATTTGCATTAAAGGAAAGAGTTTCAATATTGGCCTACAATAATGCTTTCACAAAGATAAGAAAAATTGTGGCATTTAATGTGTTTATAAAACATTAAATGCTTATTAACCTATTTTATAACTGCTTAGTGTTTATAAAACATTTATTAAGGCTGCTTCTCGAAGGCTCCGGTGTAATATAAAATGTTGCTCTTTTGCAAATAATATCCTATTTTTATAACTGCTTTGAGTTTGCAACTGTTATTCGTGACTGTTAAGCTGAGTTTAGCCTATCTAAAGACAGCGACGGCTACACTTATTTTGAAAACGGAGCAAAATGTCAATATGGAGAAAAGCCAGTTTTGTGAGAATAAAAAGAGTTTGTGGTCTAATTTTTAAAAATTTAAGAACTTACTCCATATTGCATTACTTGGACTCATAATAATTTGGAAAAACTGATAATAAGGCAGTGATATTGATAATTTTCATCTAGGTAAAAAAATGTTGCCAAATTGGCATTTTTCAAAAACTGAGAATAAGGCAGTGAGGAGAAATGTCGCCAAATTGAAGATTTTTTAAAAAGTTTAATAACTTTTAAAATATTTAGGTTATTTGCCAATTCTAAAGCCCAGATAATTCTTCACAACAGGAAGATATATATAGTTTAAAATTATGTTAACTAATACACTTTACACATTTTCATTAAGTTAATATAGTAAAGAACTACCACTGCAAGCCGCAGTAGGCCAGCGTAGTCATGGAGGTTGAGGGTCAACAATTTTCTGACAGTTTATTTTAAGAATAAAAATTTTTACTCTTTATATTATCATTTCCAAATAATTATTAATTAATGTTTAGATAATATTCAACTTAAAACGGGGTTTATAATTTAGGAAAGTAAAAATATTTTACATACCACCAGCGTATGAAGCAATGCATGGGGCCCAAACCATTCCAGAAGTCTGATCATTTCGATTTGCACTGACAGCAAACTGATAATTCGTATGATGATCTGGAAGCAACAACTCATGACTGGTTTCCGCTGTGTGAAGCCACTCGATCGGTCCATCACACTTTGCTGGTCTCGATTTCAGTGTCTGACACCAAAACAGGGTAAAATGTGAGACATCCAAGGCGAGATTTTTCCAGGTTAATGAGTAATTTCCTTTCCCATACGATATAACCATTATGTCCTTTGGTCCTTGTATCACTAAAAAAGATTTACCAATTTATAACAAGGTGCATAGCCAAATCTCTCAACAAAAAATAAGCACAAGTAAAGAGCTTTATAAGCACTATATACATTAACAAAATGCAAAATAATTTTTAAAGACTTTACATGATCATGATAAAATAACTATAGTTCCAGTTATAGTTTCTGACAAAGAAGTATTTTCTTGATTATATTAGCCACCATAAAAAGATAGATTTTTCAGTTCGATTTCAGAGGGTGGAAAATGAAGCCTGAAATAGAGAATATCTTGCAATATGCTGCAGAGTTGCACATGAGAGTTCAACAATCTCACCAAACCAAGCTCACTAGTCACTCCCAAGTATTTGATCAAACATGCAACATGATTAGCGATATCATACGTTACGGACCGACGGCAAGCCGAAATGGATTGTGGTTGAATGAATTGTGACAACGTTGAATAGAACAATATGAAAACCACGCTTTTGCATAATACACAGCGAAAATCAACTTGGCAAAGAAGAAAAAAAATCTCACTTTTGAAACTGGAAAATTAAGCAATTTTTAAAAACACCCCATGAAAAAAGCACCTTTAAGGGCCTTTAAAAAACTAAAATCAAAAATAAGCACCTTTAAGCCCTTTTTAAAAATGCTATGCACCATGTATAATACCTTATTGATTGACAGAAATGAACAAAATTCATTTTTTAATTGTAATGCTAAAGATAAAATTTTGGAGAAGAAAAAAAAAAACTAAAATCAGATTTTGAAAAACAAAATTGGAATGGCAGAATGAATGTCTAGCTTACATATGTATACATGTAAATTTAGCAGAAAAACCTCTAAAAAAATGCCTGCCTTGCATATTTTAATGAAATTAGAGAGTAGTGTCTGTCGAACCAAAAAATTCTGTCTGCTATGGAAACAGGAAAAAAATACAGCTTAAAGGAGAGTACTTTTGAAATTCTTATAACTGCCAAACCTTAGTTGAAACAATTAAACCTCGAACTATTGAGTGTTGACAGTGGCAACACTGTCAGTGACTATGGACAACTGGCAAGGAGAGTACTTCAGTTAAGCAAGTAGTAAAATATAAGTCAGTTAATGATAGTTTGTATGGTAAAATTAGTTACCAGAAATGAAAAAAAAATAATATTTTTAACAAGTAATAAATACTTTAGTTTTTATTGAAGAATTTAAATATGTATAAACAACAAACAAGCATTGTGTAGAAAATTACAAAACAACTATTATTAATTAATGTCAAATACAAATCTTCAATGTAAGCTTCATTTTAAAAATTTATGAACTAAAAAATTTAATTAATAAAGTAGTTTAAAAAAATACTTAGAGCCTAAAAAGGAAAAAAAATAAAATAAATAAACTTACTTTTTTCAATTTTGTCCACAACAATTCTAGTAGTGTCATTGGAGGAATTTCCTATTTTATTAGCACTCAATATATTAAATATGTAAGCTGAATCAATATCCAGATGCTCAAATGTGAAACTAGTTGCATTTGCAACTGTAACCCAATAGTTTGGCTTCTTGACCACTTCACGCTTGTATCGACGATGGACAACGTGATATTCGTGATACCGAACTGCATAGTGGAATCCTTCCCCATGCTCTAATTCAGATGGGATAGACTGAAAAAATAAATGCATACATATTTAATGGAAAGTAATTTTAAATCATTCTAAAATGAACTTTTATCATTTTATATAAGTGCCCTTTACCCTTGCCATTATAGATCATGGGGAATATTTTAATTTTTCAATGAAAGAAGTAGGAAGTGATTCACAATGCCCACAAATTCCGAGAGTATATGTACTAAAGTGTATGTATAAATAATAATATGAGATTTATTGTGAGAGTTGGAATTACTTCCATGAGGCTGTTATAGACAGATTGGCTGGTCTCATCCATAAGACCCTGAAAGGAGAATTATTTAATTATTGAGAATATGTGATTTAGGATCTGAAAGGGCAAAAAATGGTAACACTTAACAGAAAAAAAGTTGACAGTGTTTCAGTAGCTCAAACACTAAAAGATTTATGACACTTCATCAGCTCATTTTCTAATCAACCATGTCAAATAAAAGTACCTCCCTCATACTAAAGCCCATGTTGGATCATGATCTCCCGAATAACTCTTCTCAAAATATGTTTGTCTTGTTTTTGCTATAGAATTTTTTATTCCCCATCATCTCTTCTTCGGTCTTCTCCGATTCCACTGACCGTGGCACTGGACTTTAAAAATATTTTTTGAGCACCTGCTGTCATCCATTCTATGTTCCCAACCATTGGATTCTTTTTGATTTTATACAGTTTATAATATCGTTTTCTTTATACATCTTTCGGGTTTCATGGTTAAATCCCCTTTGCCACGCATCATCCTTTCTTACTGGACCAAAATTGGTTCTTAAAATTTTTCTTTCCGAGGTTATTGACACCATTTCATATTTCTCGGTCAAAGTCCTATTTTGACCCATAGATAATGGTTGGTCTAATCACAATTTTCTACACTCTGACTTTCATTTCACATGTTAATGTTTCAGATCATATTAATAAAAACCAACAATAGGATAAAATATTTACCTTCCAATACAATGTTATAGATCGGTTGCCAGCAATGATTTGCATATCAAAAGCAGATCCTGTGGTTTCAGGCGCCAGGTACGGAACTAGAAATAAAATTATTTTTTAAAATTGAAATAAATATTTTTTTAAAAAAATTAAAATTGTATAAAAAAAAATTTCAAGCTGTATTAAGTTATTATATAAAAAAAAAAGAAAATGTTTAAAATTCTCATAAATTAAGATACTTTGTTCAACTTTAAAAAATTTTCCCGTGGAGCGGCTTGTCTCCATAGCTCAAAAAAAAAAAAAAAAAATTCATACAATTTAACAAAAGATAACTCATAGAAAAAACAATTTTCAATGTTGAAGTTTAGGTTAGCTCAAAGTTTGTTCAAATCTGCATAATTTTGAGCATAAATGTAGATGTTTTTCTCCTTATTTACAAATAGGATGCTTATTTCAATAGTCATTAATTTATTTTTGCAAATTTATGAAAAGTGAAGACATTTAAATAGTTATCTGATATATTCAAAACCATAATTATTAACTGACATGCTATCCACCTAGAATAAAAAATTTATAAATATATTTTTTTTTTGTAAGGTGCCATTCAAATATTACCTAATAGGGAGGGGGTTTGTAGTTTGCTTATTTTATCAGAGATTTTACAAAAGAGAATGAGGGGTATGAGTAATGCTTAAATAAGACACTTAAATCTCTCTATCTTACATCCTTTTAAAACAGGGATGAGATTGGCAAAAAAGCTGAATTTCTACGCGAGTTAATTTTACGAGCATGCAATTGTTTAATAATAAATTCCAGAGAATTTACGATAACAAATAACAATGTGTTGACATAAAATTGTGTACTAATTTATTATTATATAAATGATTACATTGAAAAATATATAAAATATAATAGTAACACGACTTTTTAAATTATTTACAAAAGAAAATTAACTTTTACAATTGGAATCCCTATGTTCATATTATAATCTAATCTAGATAGAGCCCTGTGAAACATAGCAATAACCGTGAAGTAGAAATATATAGTACCTCCTAAACGGACTAAAATTGCTATTTTTAGTTTGAAAAATTACATGATAATCAGTAACTGCTTAGATAATTATTTTTCCTTTGATAAGAAATTTACATTTTATAAGAATTTATTACAAGTGAGGAATAAAAGTTGAATTTAAAGATTTAATCAAATATATATATTTAAAGACTTTTAAAGGTAAAGAGTTTTAAACACTAAAGATTCCTAAAGCCTATTTAATTCAAAATTTTCCATTATGAATTAAAAAATAAACTTTGTTTATTGCATAGTTGCATCTTTTTATGTGAAATTAATCTTTAAACTGGATAACTATAGTAAAGTCGAAGCAAAACGAGGGGAGGAAAGTGCTGCAAATTTCTTACACAAGTATGAGACAGGGCTAAAGAGAATAGAAGGGCTGGTTCACTCCTTTGAAGTATCTCTTGCCGCGCCGATCCTCCGACGTCACTTTGGCGCAAAGCTCGCACTTTTACTTCAAGAACGGAGCGTTTGGCCTTACTAGCTCTAACTAATATTGGATCATTTCTTTTTGCGAGATATTCTAAGACATTTGTTATTTTCTATAATGACTTTCCTCAGTTTTTGCAGTGAATTTACAAGAATTTAAAACTATTATCGAAATGCCAGTTTGCGCGATTGCAACTTGCAAAAATTCTGATATAAAAACAAAAGGAAAAAGTATAATTTTTCGCGTGTTCCCTAAAGTAAATGAACAACTATGTAAAGAATGGATTCCGAAATGACACAGTTAATATAAAACCGCAATACGTTTATTCTGTCGTAAAGAACTTTTATAAAAATTCATTATCTAAATAGAAACCGCCTCGTTACTTCATAAAGAAAGGCAGGTGAAAAGAATTAAAAAATAGATAAAGTCAAAGAAAATTAAAATGTAAGTAAAAAGTATAAATAAAATATATAGTATATAGTTGAAATTCTCCTAATTTCATAACATATTTTTTAATGTAGTTATTCTAAATATTTATGATTTTTTTTAAAAATTATATTCTCTTCAATTTAAATATCTATAAATTATATCATCGTAAATTTAAATGTCTATAAACAATTGTAAAATTTCTAATGTCATTATGAACCTAAATTATTATTTTGTTTCAGTAATTAGCGTTTAAGGTTGATGTTTCCTAATGATTAAGTATGAACAAATTGCTATTAACGACATATTTTAAAATCAGGGATTCTAAATTTAACTTAACTTATCTTTATAAAAGAATATGTAGATAAAAAAAGTGTCGATATATGCCTTCATTTTTCTTAATAGTTAAAGTTAAAACTGAACTTTTTAAAATAAAGTATTTATCGTGTCATTTTCACCAACTAGCAAAACATTTTTATAAGTTTAAAATGGTATTTTTTTAATATAATAACCAAGAAAGTTTTTTTTGAACTATGTTTATGAACGGAAATAATGTGTTAATTACGTAAAGTTTGAAGGATAATAGCCAAGAGAAAGATGCAAAGTTATCATATCTTTGCTCGCGATCTCCGAGATCTGTAGACACAGTGACGTCATGAGGAGGGAAATCGTAGCTTCAGCTCTAAGAGCGGAGTGAACTAGCCCTTGTATTCTCTTTAGCCCTGAGTATGAGAGAGGGTTTGTAAATTGCTCTATTATTGCCAACAACAGAGAAGTCCATAAATGTCAAGAATATCCTTACGTAATAATTGAACCATCCCATATAATTAAGTCAGCATATAAATAAATACTTATTAACACCCTTAATTACTGAAAAATCACATATATGTATTTGTTTACACACATTAGAAAAAATATATTAAAACTACATTTATTCACAATTGATAATATCATTAAATGTTTATAATTTTGTTATCATTAAGAATACCCATCATTTATGAATAACAAAATCAATTAAAAATTATGTTTAAAGTTTAAAAAGAAAAAAAAAACATACCATCAGACTTAGTTTTTTCTGTATGTTTCGAAGGTTCACTCCAATAATATTCATCACCTGATATATTTAGGCGAACTTTTACTTCAAACTCATAGAGAGTATGAGGTACCAAATCAACAATAGAAATGTTAAGATTTTTCTCAGCGTACAGTTCTATTTCCTGCAGAAATAATAAAAATAAAAAAAAACATTAGTAACAAATTTATAAAGTCATATGATTAATTCAGGGTGCGCAGCCAATTTTTAAACAAAAAATAAGCACCTTTTAAGCGCTTTAAAAACATCAAAATTCGACAGGGTTGAGAAGTTTTTGACAATTGATGGTTTCATTTACTAGCCACTAAGGAAGACGATGGCGCGTCACCAGTGATGAAATTTACAAGAGAAATACAATTTTCTATCGCTATTAGAGAAAATTTTTTGACAATGTTTAGTTGGTCCCCGTACTCAGCAAAAATTTGCGATTTTTCGGTTTGATTCCAGAGGGCGGAAAATGATGTCTGAAATTGAGAATCTCTTGCAAAATTCATTAGAGTTGCACATGAGAGAGCAAAAATCCTTTCCACTGAATCCAGCTCAGTATACACACATGCGGACCCGCAAGTATTTCATCAAACGAATGAAATACTCGTGACAGTAGGGTGTTTTCATACACTATACCAGGGATGGGCAAACTTTTTTTGTCGAGGGCCAAAAATCAAGGAAAAAAATGCTTGGTGGGCCAAGTAAAAACTTCAAAATTTAAAAAAAAAAGCGATATACAAGTTTTAATTTAAATATTTAATGAGATGACAGAAATTGCGATTTCATTTTTTAAAGTTCCTTATATTAAGGTTCGAAGTGAGATGTGCTTATTTTAAGGAACAAGGCTCTGTTAGTCTACTTCTGAAATGATTTTTTCTAAGGTTCATAGTTGAAAACTCTTGTTCACATATATAAGATTAAGCAAACATAGTACTGATTTTCTGGGCATGAAATATTAAATTTTGGAAACTAGTTTTTGGTAATGATTTGTAAAACTTTGGCATATTTAGAAACAACTGCTTCAGATGATTGTTAGATTGTCCGCTCTTTGGAGCGTAAAATGCGCAGTCTGCCAAATGTGAAGTACAATTTACCTTTATTAGATTCCATAAGTCAGCTCCTCGAGAAAGACAAATGCTAGTTGGAGCCAATCTACGGCTATTCTATAAAGAACTTCTGCCTTCAACATTTTACCAATTGAAGCTGTCTGTGCTAACTATTTCCATTAATTTATGTTTTGTAGAACAAAAATAGAGAAAGTAAAAATGTCATCAGTACTTTGTTAAAAAAGGAAAAACAAAAATAATTTTAAACATAGTCGACAAGAGAGTGGATGTATATTATTTATATTTGCCACTGATCGGCAAATAAAAATTCAATCCGCGGGCCGGATAAAATCTTCCGGCGGGCCACAGTTGGCCCGCGGGCCGTAGTTTGCCCATCCCTGCACTATACCAACGGTATGCCAAAATAAATTAGGGTTGAAATAATTGAAAAAAACGTTGAATAAGGCTATGTCTTCTTGTATAATTCACGGCAAAAATCAGCATGGTAAAAAAAAAAATTCTCATTTTGAAAAATATTGAAAAAAGCACCTTTAAGGGCTTTTAAAAACGAAAATAAGCACCTTTAAGTACTTTATAAAAACGATATGCACCCTGTAATTACATATATTAAATATAAGCTAGACCCACTGGCAAACTTTTTTCTAGCATCAAATCAGTTTTATTTGAAAGATAAATGTAATTTTTACAAAATAAATTTATAAAAAAATGTAAATTTATTTGTTTGAGATGAACTTGTAAAGTACGGTTTGGTAATTTACACCAATTGCAGAACTTTCAATTGACCACTTTTTTTTTTACAAAGTTCACTTTTGAGGCATTAAAGCTTTGAATGTTTGAAAGTCTGGCATTAACTCAAAAGAATTCCTAATTATAGCTAATAATTAACAATATTTTATTTTTGCTAACAAATTCTACTTATGCATTTCTTAGTACATATAGTAAATTAGGCCAAATTTTTACAAGAATATTTCATAGTTTTGAAATTGTTTGAATAACAAATGATTTATCAGTACTTTTTCTTTCTTTTTAAAAAATAATAACCATGTAAAAAAAAAACATTTAAATTTACTCGCAAATGGTGACTCTTGTTCTCTTGCACCTGCAAAATGGGAGGGCATAAAAATACATGGAACACCCTGAATAAGCTTTAAATCTAATCTAATGATCATATCTTCCCGTTCCAGAACTCAATCTTAATGGTTCAAGGAAGTTACTTCAAATATGCTTATTAATTAGTGGAGACTATATTTTAAGGCATAAAATCAGACTCAAAAATGTACTTTCTCTGAATAAACATGCTGCTCATTGAGAGAAAGTAGATACAACCCTTCAAAGCATTAAGATTGAGTCCTAGAATGTGAAGATCTGATTATTAGATCAAAAGTTATTCAGATTGGTCCTTTTTATGCGCACTGTACATTGCATGGAAGTGCTAAACTGTATAGAGTAACGTTTATAAATTTTTTTCAGTAACAAAACTCAAAATCATCAAATTTCTTTTGGCCAAGCTTTGAATTATAAAACAATTTCAATAGAAAGTATGTATATGCAAATTAAAAATAAAAGAAAAACACTACAAACAAATTCAGGAACATTTAATAAGAAAAATGAAATTTTTTCATTACTTCTTCATCCTTTACTTCATTTCTCTTTTCATTTCATTTTTCATTCAACTATAAGTGTTTTAAAATTACGCTTTATGTCATGCAGTTGAATTCCCAAATCTGCAGAGGTTTTTAGATTAATAATAGTAGCTTTAGGCGTATGCATAAATAAAACAAACTCTAATAAACTGTGAGAATGGTTTTCAGAAAGAAAAAAAAAAATCATTTTTGAAATGGTTATTTAATTTTTATTTGAGGGGAAATACTGATGCAATCATTTATAAATGCGAATCACTTTAGTAATTCCTTCAATATATTATTTTTGGATTTTTTTTTTTTAATATTTGTTATTCAGGGGTCTCTCCAGGCTGAATTTACTACTGTTACCTTCACAAATTCAATTTTAGGAAAAACGATAGTTTCACAAAATACTTTCTCTTAAAATATTATTTTTGTATCCCTTAAGAAACGATAAATCCATATTTTTGCGTTGATTTTTTAACATAATTTTTCACAAATTATGTCTAAATTTTCACAAAATAGGTACCTCTCAGAAAAACATAGACAGACCCCTGTTATTTCTCTTTTATTAACACTTTACTTAAATATTCTTATCAAAACAACCTAAATATTAAAAGAAAAATTGATTATTGGTCGGATACAAACCCATATCAGAAGTAAAAAAAAATTACTGGTTAAAAAAAAGTTCTAGCTCACGGAATACATGTGACCTTTCCACAGAATGCTAAGGTACTGTGAAACACCTTTTGGAAACTGCAGGTCTAGAGCAATACTCTTTCTATGTTCCTACAAGCATTGTTATACACATGTTTCACTGAATTTCTCAGAAATATTTTTAATTTGGTCACAAATTTAGATCGACTGTTTTTTGGTCCTTTTTTTCTTCAATTTAGAATATTAAAATAACCTTAAAAGGATATTTTTTAAATAAAAAAAATGATCATGACATGCTAAGCCAATATGTTAATGTTTAGTATGGGTCTAGGCAGACATCAGTTGAGAAAATGTAAATACCTTTGAGCCAGGAAGATTTGTTGATACAGAGTAATATCTTATGTGATATATTAAGCCAGCTGGAGCTTCGCCATAATCTAGTCCCTTTGGAGCATTCCATTGCATGGATAAACTGTTTTGCGTGACATTAGTACATATGATAAATTTCGGTTTGCCAGGTTTAACTGTAAAATATAAAGGAAATAAGTTTTTTTAATAATTCATTTGTGTATCATGAAATATACCCTAAAAGTTCTTAAAACTCAAAAATTATACTTACAAAGTAAAAAATTAGGTGGTTAATTTGAAATATTAAACAATGAACCCTTAACAAAATCTATCACTCGGAATATAGAATAACCTTAATAATATTTTCTTTTCATGTCATTTTTTTCGTATAATTTACTGGGGTTACACCAACAGTCCGAGCACTAAAATCGAATAATTTAGACCGGAGGGTCTTTCAAGAGCCATCTATATAGGCATTGAATTTTACGTAGTTTCCTAAGAGATTTCGATTATATTTTGCATTACTATTTGAAATAAAATCCTTTTTAATAAGCTCATTACATTTGGGAAAATAAACTGACAAACAAAATTTTATAATGCTATTTCAACATAAATATAATGCTTTTGTCTAAATTTAATTAATACAATGCATTAAACAAAAAATACCTAACATGTATACTGCCGTGCTATGGAAAAAACAACGCAAGTGCCTCGCTGTAAATTTTGAGAAAGGTCACTTGACAACTATTTTCTTTCTATTGCTAATTCTGTGAATGCTAAAATGAAATTTCAAAAAATAGATAAAACAAAATTTAATTAAAAAAAAAACTTTTTTAGTATTAAGCAACTTATCATACGAAAATGTCAAACACATAAAATTCTCTATTTTGAACTTTTTGTTGCTTACGTTGATTTTTATATTGCACAGCAGTATAGTACTAAAATAGCACACTGAATAGCAGTATAGTACTGAGATAGTACACAGAATAGCAGTATAGTACTGAAATAGTACACAGAATAGCAGTATAGTACTATACTGAAATATTTCGATAGCATACGACAGAGAAATATGTTCCAAGCTTTTCTGTTTAACAACTTAGGGTAAAATTAGTTTCCTGTAATGGAAAACTAACAGATGTTACCCCTATCTGAGCTCAGGGACAACAGTGTGACGTTAAAAGGTTTTCTTGCATAAATACTTACATTTAAGGTGCAACACTGAAGAAATATAAAATATAATTTCCTTTTATAAAGATAGTGTTTTTTAAAATTTTGACAAATTTTCAGGTATATTACAAAATATTATTATTTAAATATTCTAATAAGTTGTTTAATAGGAAAAAGAACTTACTTTTAAAATTTTTGACACACTATTATAATATTTATTTAAAAAAAAACAACTCCTTTTTACATTCTTTGGCAACTAACAAAATATAAGTATATATTTTTATTCATTATTTAATAAAAATAAATATAATAACCACTAAATACATATCATCATAATTAAGTAAGAAATATATTTGCAGTAATGGCAAAACTTAGCACTTTCAAGTAGGCAGAACAGTTACAACTGAACCAAAGAGGTACTGTATAGGGCTTGTGCAGAATACTGGTACATAAACATGCAGGATGCTATGCAAAAGTGCTAAATTTCTATAGTGATATTTAAATCATAACTAAACATTAGGACAAAAAAATCACTAAGAACAAGCTAACGAAAAACTTTGAATTAGTTAAAAAAAAAAATTTTAAAAAAGACTAAACACTGGAAATAAGTTTTCGATTTATGTACTGAAAAACGAAACATTAGTATCCAACAGTATTACAATAAAAATAATTTATTAATTAAACATATTTTCAATTTATAAAACAATGCATATCAAAAAACAACAATAACTTACCAATTTTGTAATGATCAATATTGATGAACTGTTTATTTATACCCAAGGAATTGTTTCCTTCCAGAATAAAGTGTATTTTACTTTGTTGTTTTACGTATACAGGTTTTGTGTCCATACGATATTGACAGCTGGTGGAATTCAGCATTTCCGGACATGTTCGGTTAATGCTATAAAAGAATACAAATTACAGAGACACAATACAAGGGACATAATACAAATTACAGGGATACAATACAAGGGATACAATACAAATTACAGGGATACAATACAAGGGATACAATACAAGCAAACTAGACAGAAAAAAAAATACTTACTACTACTTTTTACAAATACCAATCTTAAGAAAAAGTTAACAAGCCTGTCATTTAGAAAATAAGTTAACCCTTTGACGGTTATGAACGAGTTCGGTTCGCAATCGAATCGTGCTTCGTAATGCAAGCAAACGAGTTCTGCTCGGGAGCAAGATTTCAAGCGTAATGGTTAGTAACACCCACTACTCGCATAGTGAAATTTTTCCCCAATGCTCGTTCGGCATTATTATTCTGCATTGATAATGTTAAAAACAAATCCTACTCGCAGGGGTAGCAGCAAAGTTTTTTAAAATCTTAGGGTAATTTTAGGAACTTTTTTCAAAAAATTTTAGGTAAATTTTAGGGGTAATATAAGATTTTGTTAGGATAAAAACAGATCACGCGGTAGTTTATTACATAACAGAAGATTATTACAATTCATCCACACATATCATAAATAATTGCAAGCCATAAAATAAAGCTCTGAAATCTATTAAGTCAAGAATGAAATCTCTAAAGTGTAAAAATGAAATTTCAACTTTACATATTACCTATCAGAAATTAAGTGCATAATTCAGGAACAGGCAAAAGTGAGAATAAATCAAGAGAAAAAATAAATTAATACCAACTTCGATTTTTATTTAATTTTTACCTCCTTAATCAAAACTGTATTATTACCCTTTACCTTACTTTATTAAGAAAAACTATTGTGTGATAATATTAGATTTCAAATCAGCAAATTATATTAGAAGTTAGAGAAAAACAAATTAATCATGATCATTTTTCTAACATATTCTTGATGTGATTTGTGAGATTCTTTTACTGCTCTCAATAGTGTTGTGGGGATCTTCAACACTCCTCCATATTTTCAAATGGTATCTTTGATTAGTCTAAGAGACATAATAGTATTCTCATGGTGACTCACATTAAGCATTGCTTTATTTATCGAAAAACCTCTTTCAGGATCAGAATTCCCATGTGGCAAAATTAAAACAGTTTTAATTAATGTAGTTAAATTCTTATATTTTAGATTATTGCTTTTTTTATTTATATTTAGCCTATAACTCTAATTTTTTAGGAACACCAACAAAATTTTATCAGATTTTTAGGAATTTTAGGGTTTGCACATACTTTTAGGAATTTTAGGGGGAATGCGGCCCCTGTACTCGTGAAACGTAGTTAGTTTCACTGCCTACAGGTGGCAGTACGGGTGCCATGAATTTCTTTTCAGAATGAAGGGGGAATTAATTTTTTCACCTTGTTCTTTTTATGTGTATTTTGGCACATTTTTAAGGGTGTTTGTAAAGTAAAATGGCAGAAAAGTGAAAGTTAGATAATTATGATGATGATTGTGATACAGAAAGCTTATCAAATTTTGAGTCGGATGAAGACTTTGTTCTGAGTATTTAGGTAATTACTGTATTTAAATGCTTCATAAAGTTTTACATTAGTTGTATTTATTCAGTCCTTTCAATTTAATATTTGTCTTATATTCATAATTAACTATTATTTATATAATTGATTAATAATTATCATTTATTAATTATCTTAAATTATGTAAAAACTGCTATTTATGTACTACAAATACTTTAAGAAATTTTTAAAACGCATGAGGCGAGCTATCTACGGCATCGCCAGAGAAGGGTGACATTTTCGGAAGAATGGAGGGGGAAAACAGCTGCCACTTTCGACTACTATTTGCTTGTAATACTGAGCGAATTAATGCAATCAAAACTGTTTATTTCCCTAACCGTCAAATGGTTAAATACTGAACAGAGAAAAGTCATAGCACCACTGCTAAATAGAAATAGTGAAAACAGGAGAAAAAATAAACATAAAAACATCAAACTTAGGAAAAAAAATGACAAAAATTTAAAAAATTTCTAGAGTTTAAAAATTACAATAATAACATAAGGGGTACTAAACAAATACAGCTTTGAGAAAATATGTTTTATCAAAAAAGAAAACATAAATGTCATAATGCTATTTCAATAGACAGAAAGCTATTTCAATAGCCAGAATGCTATTTCAATAAACAGAAAATATTAAAACGGCAAATAAATAAAATACCTAACTCTGTAAAAAATGAAATAGGGGATTTCAATCTCTTATTCGATCATATATTATGAGTTTGAATTGTCTAGACAATGTTAAAAAATAAGAGTTCATTATTAAAACAATTATTAATGACTAATTTAATAAATTTTTAGTGCAAATTTACATAAAAATATGCCAATTCACTTTCAAATACTTAAAAGTTGAACATTTTGAGAATTCATACTAATATTTCAAAATTTACTTTTTCATATTTCCTGCACGTTTAATATAATTTCTTGAACTAAGATTTATAATTAAATTACCTATCAATGAAGAAAAATCACACACATATAATAACTAATTTAAGAAAGAACTTAGTTCTTACTAGAATCGCGATATTAGATTTTAATATCACGAATATAAATAGCAATATTGAATTTTTAAAAAAAAAAAAAAAAAGAAAATACAAGACACAATACTTGACTTGTGTGAAAACAATATTGGAAAATGTGAAAATACAGGACACAATATTGGAAAATACAAATCGCGATTTTAGATTTTTAAATAACATAAAAACAAATCATAAAGTGAATTTTTAAATTGCGTATAAATACGATATTCTATGTTTGATATTCCAAAAGCGTGAAAACGAATCGCGAAATTGGATTTTAAAAACATGTGAATACGAATTGCGATATTTATTTTAAAAATGTCGGAATACAAATCAAGACATCAGATTTTTTAATTGCGGGAATATGAATCGAGATGTATGATATTTTAATCCCGTTAATACTATACGCGATGTGTAACTTTGAAATGAGGTTAATATGAAAATTCTGTGAATGTTAATCATTTCGGCACAGTTTCAAATATTCAAAATGGCAAAAATCCCCAAAACCAAAAGAATCAAATTGGCAGAAAAAAGTAGGTAAACGTCACGTTAACAGAATTTAGCAAAAATTTTGAAATTGAAATTTTGGAATTCCATGAAAATTTCCTTGAATAATAAATTTTCAAATTGCAGAAATCAGCGAACCAATGGTCTTGAGATATGAGATGCAAAATACACGGAATTCCAAGGTACATCCGGAATACAACCATCCTGGAGTATTATCATAAATTAAATTGTATTGAATTTAGTTTCAAATGTTCTTAATTATATAAACATTAAAGAGAAATGACTTACTAAGGCTGGAAATAGTAATCATATAGCTTGTATTTGGTATGGATAGGTTGGAAAGTTCTTTCCATTCGGAATACAACAAATCCGAACTATTATCAAATAAGTTTCAAATGTTCTTAATTATGTAAACATTAAAGAGAAATGACTTACGAAAGCTTCAAATAGTAATCCTCTAGCTTGTTTTGGGTATGGATAGGGATGAAAGGTTCTTTCCATTCGAAATACAACAAATCTGGACTATTATCATAAATATTAAATTGCATTTAATTTAGTTTCAAATGTTCTTAATTAGGTAAACATTAAAGAGAAATGACTTACAAAGGCTGGAAATAGTAATCATAGAGCTTGTATTTGGTATGGATGGGGTTAAAAGGTGCTTTCCAGGTACATGTTAGATTAGTGTATTCTTCACTTATACATGAAAAGGTTTCAACTGGTAAAGGCTTGACTGTAAAGTAAACATTATCAAATAAATAAATTACTCTTATCATGTAAACAAATTAACTAATGCAAACAACAATTATTACATAACATTACACTGTTTATTATTAATATTACATTAGAATAAGCCTATTTTTAACAAGGCTATTTCATCATACAAAATAACCCCTTGTAGCATATAATATGGAATTTTCAACTTCTCTTTTGTGTTTGTTCAGTATTTTTGTCTGTCCATGATGTCTGAACACCATAGTAATATAAAGTATCTTCCAACACAATCCAAAAGTATCTGCAAGCTTATAATATTTTTGATGATAGAATAATTTTATTATATATATGAAAACAGTTATCTATTTAATATTTTTACATTCTTGGCAAAAAAAATATATGTGTACATGCACATTAACTACAAAAATATTAGAGAAATAGATATAGTTATACATAGAATTATATTCATATAAAGTAATTATCATATTAAGTAATATTAGTAATTTCACTCGAAGCGAAATTATATTTAAAGATTTTCTATTGTCACTGCAATCGTCTATTTTTTATGTAAAGTGATGGTCGCGTTGAGCTAAGTTTTAAAAAATGAGCTGATTGTAGGCTCGACCGCTAATGATGGGATCGCTAAACTTTGGGCTAAAGTGATTGTTACATCTTCTATCTTTAAGAGCAGTATGCATACAACTAAACACTGACTTTCTTTTACCTAGCATAAATCATGATTAAGCTGCCTGCTTCATATTTTCTTTTTTCTCCCAACTTTTTTTTTTTTGCTGGCAGATACTTTTTTAATATTTAATTAAAATATAAAAAAAGTATCTGCAAAATTTGAGATTCACAACCAATGGATCCGCGCACAACATGCGTCTGTATTATCTAACTATGCTGAACACTATGTTTTATCACTTATAACTCCAGAATCATCCATACTAAAGTTCTAAAATTTAGAGATTGGCTACAAGCCCAAAAGCAGAATATTTTCAAATGTTCTGCAACAGGACTTATTAATTAATACAAGTGTTCTGCAAGCATTTCACAGCGAATAAAAGTCAACTTTACGTTAAAATACTATATTTTCATTTATTAAAATACAGGATCATACACAGATACACGACATTATTTTTTAAGCCAAGGCAAACATTCTTGATTTGTTACATGTTCAATCACTTTCGAAGTACGAAATTTTGTTAATGACGATGATGATGATGAATTATTAATAAAATGCCTATGATTTGAAGGCCCGAACATTAAAATAAAGGCTGCCTTAAAAATCTGTTGAAGAATGTATGAGATTAGGGTTCGGAATTATTCTGCAAGCCTACCGGAGTCAGGTGGGGGGGGGGTCGCAGGAAAACGCTGTTACTTATTCAAGATACAAATTGTTCTGCAGGACTTCGCTTGTTTTGCGACATACGTCACAGTTTTAGGCACTTTCTGCTTCTGGGGCTACAAGGAACATTTTTCGCATTGGTTCAACACTGGCTATTATTATTCATAAAATTGCAGATGATTCTGTTTAACTTTTTATTCTATGTTGCAAGAATTTCTTTTGAAATTTAAAAAAAAAAATTCAGATGAAAAGTCTGCGGTATTTTTAATAATAATAACATCATATAAACAATCGATCCATCCTAATAAGTTACATAGAATATTTTGTTTCTTACTCCTTCGTGCAAACCAATAGAAAAGTTGTTTTATCAAATTTATGTTATTATAATTCTAAACACAGATAAATATACACTTTTTAAATATATATTTAAAATATTTAAATGTTATTTATTACAGCTTTAATTTTTTTGTAATAATAATAATAAAAAAAACCGTAGAAATTTTTACTATAAAGTAATATTTTTCCTAATCTAATAAAGCAAAAAAAAAAAATTCATTTCCTAGGTCTTTTGAAAGATATAGGTGTTATGAAATCTAATAAAGCAAANATTTTTCCTAATCTAATAAAGAAAAAAAAAAAAATTCATTTCCTAGGTCTTTTGAAAGATATAGGTGTTATGAAATGATTATCAATCAACAAAATTTTAAAAAACACAACAGTCAAAGAAGCAGAAATATAACCAAACATACAAGACAACCGGGTAAAAGAGCTTCCCAGTACGGTAAAATAAAAAACAAAATTGAAAATTGAACAGAAAAATAAAAAATAACATGAAAAAAACCATTACCAGCATAGCTCGTAAGATCAACATAGCTCGTAAGATCAACAATACAAACAGCACTGTTTTAGGGAATTCAGAAGCATAAAATTTAAAAATAAATAAATACTTACAACCCACTGCAACATAAGTATTGCACACTAATTGCTCTGTGTTATAGACATCTGGAATGTCCACAAAACAGTTGTAAACACCAGTATCATTAACAGTGGCTGATGGTACAACATACTCAAGAGTCAAGTCATCAATGATGTTTATGTTCCTGATCGGTTTGCCTTCTAATTTTAAAGAGAGATTTTTGACAGAAATTTTGTTCTTTTCAGCTTGTTCGGGAAAAAGAGAACATTGAAGTTTCAAAAGCGACCCAACTTCTAAATCTTGATCATGAGTTACATCTTTTAAAAAAAAAAATCAAATCAATTTGTCACATATGTAGCACAATAAATAAATAAATACAAAAAAGAATAAAGAAAAAAAATGAAGGAAATTAATGAGTTTTATTTACTGCGCATAAGCTGAAAGTATATAGAACTCATAAAATATGTTCAAAATATAGAGAAAACATGGAAGAAATTACAGATTAATGAAAAGAGAGCAAGAAAAATTACAATAAAATAACATAATAAATAAATAAATTTAAAAAAGAAAGATATAATCTCTTCAGCAGCTCACACGATTGTTAAAGAGAAAGATTTTTTTAAGTACTTAAGAGACAATTCATCAAGAAAATTTCTTGATTGTTGAAACAGAGCTCATTCTAGGTAGAAAACAGGGCAGGGTGCAAAAGTTTAAAAAAGGGGCATTATTCTTTCTATGGGCCTTACACATTCTATTAAAAAATATTGTCAATTAGTATAAGATTTTTTTTTAACTTTTAATTTTACTAGAAGTAGCAAAGAATCATATTAATTACTAATTTTTATTAATAAATTAACATATATATCGAGTGAAATGAGCTAATTATCTTAGTAATTTATTTAAAATGCATGCATATATTAATAAAATAATAAATATATGTTTTTAAGTGTCTGTAGTTATGATTTAATAATTAAAATGATTAATAATTATGATTTAATGATAGTGGAAGTAACTGCAAACTTTCAAAGATAAGTGCAATAAGGGGGTGTGATGGCAATTTTTCCTTTCCCACATAAATCTATGTATTGACAGCAACGACAAACTAAATAAAAAGCGTTGAAAAGTTTAAGAAATCCATTGTAGTTTGGTGGAAAAATAAAGAAGGGTTGAGGAAAGAAAAGGTATGGACTCTATTACATCAGGGCACTAATTTACTTCAGGGTCAACAGGGTGGATTCTTTTGACTAAAAGGGCAGCAGGGTGCTGCGCCCTGTTTACCCTGCTTAGAATGAGCTCTGGTTGAAAATTTTGAATATCGCGAGTTAATTTAGTTTTGATAGGTGGTCAATGATTTTGAAGAGTTATATTTATTTGTTGAGTGCAACTTCTAAAAACCTGTTTCACTCCATCTAATAGTGTTAAAGGTCCTGGGTTCAAATCCTAGAAGAATTTAATTTTATCTCTAATATTCTTTTCCGTCATCAGGAAGGGTAACAAACAGTACTTAAAAAATGGATTATTATAACTATTCTTCTATATTATAACTATTACTTCTATAATTGTGTCATGGCATACCTTTCAATTTTAAATTTGCATTTTGGTTAAACAGATTTTAAAATATCAAAATTATGAATGAATGAACATTTATGAAGCACTTTTAAAAATACATCAATGGGTCAGTCATTGAACAGATGACTTCGGCTCACTTAAACATATTAAAAATCCCCGATTCATTAAATTATGAGAAAGAATCAATTAGCTTACTTCCAAATGCACTGGGACCGAGAATGGGACAAGAACGCACAGAGTGTAACAGAAGCAATACTCCATAAGTTAGCAGGAAAGTTTGCATCAGTCCCATTTCAGTCACAGAAATTCAATCATCATAAGATATTTCGAGTTAGGGGCAAGCATTCTTAATTCTTTTACCTGCAAAGAGAAAAGAAAAATGGTTACCAAAGATGAAACCTTTTTTAAAAACATTACAAAGACAGGGTGATAAAGTAGAATTGTCAGATAAACGAGGGATCATTTTAAATCTATTTAAGTATTTAAATAAATTTGAGCTTGAAAAATATATTGGATACAGACTTCTGTTTTCTGATTGGGTACAATTGGATGATTACATTAGAAGGTCATGCTCAAGGGAGGAAGAAAGGACAATTGTCCCAGAACTGCTATTAGCACTGTCAACATTATTTTAAAAAAATGTAGTCTATTTTAATTAGTCTTTTATTAAAAGAAAATTTCCAAGAATACCTTTCCATCTGTATTAAATATACAAATTCAAGCAAACGACATTACCAACATTATCAACTAAAATAAAAAAAATGTTAAATCAAAGATCAAAATCTTTTGATTCTTCAAATTTTAAAAACCCTTAGATAATGGCATGTTCTTGAAACACAAAATCAAAATCAGTGCAAAAAGCTAAAAATAAGGACTAAAATATTATTCATCAGGAATATTAGGACAATTATAAACCCTGATTAATGATACATTTACTATCTCCAGGATATAAACTCTTGTGCTGGCCATTACGAAGACAAACAACTTAAAGATTTTTGATGTGGGGTTAGTCATTTCGCTTTGGTGTAGATTGACATAGTCATGACCTTTCTTCAATTTTTCCCCTTGTCATAATGCCTCCAGAAAACTTCGGGCAAGAAAAGCAGTTTCAAATTTTTATTAATTTTATTATTTATTGAGAAAATGGGTGTTCTAGGTTTTTTATATCAGCAGAATTTTCAACTAAAAAAATTTCAAAAACCATAATCACAAAACAAAAAAAAAAATTTAAGAGTTTAGAAGCATTTTATATTTATTATTGAATGTTTGGATGATAAACTATCTAAAAGTGTTCTAAACCGCGAAATTTAGAAAAAAGTAAAAATTCCATATAAAACCTTTTTACCTACATATAAAATAACTTAAAATTGATATTGTTATTAGCAATACCACTAACTCACAAGTTCTAATAAAACCTAATAAGTTCTAATAAATAATAAATAGTTCTAATAAATGTTATTTTACTGAAAAATATTAAAACATTATTTTTATCATCAATCAAGGCTTGGTCATTGCCATTTTTCAGTTCTTTCTAAAATTTCAAATTTGTAAAAACAGTCCCTATACACAAAACCAAATTTGTAAAAACAACTTCTTTACAAAATTCAAATATATAAAGACTAGCCCTTCACAAAATTAAAGTCATAAAAAACTGCCGTTACAAAGTTTAATTTTTTTAAAAAAGCATTAGCATTTTATCATGTTACTGCTCATAATTGTTTTTAAATCTTACTGATAAAAACAGGGTTCAAAATTAATGGTGGTCCATCCTTGCGGGACTACTAAAATTTGTCTTAGATGACTATTAAAATCTCTGTGTAAAGCGATTAATGTAAAATAATTGTAGTTTTGGTTTTTAAGTATTGGTCTACCTTAGTGACTAAATAGCATAATTCATCATAGTTGCGAACATAACACATTCTTTGCATTGTATTTTTTGTTTAAATTCACTTAATTAAAAAAAAATAAAAATTAAGAGATTTGTAAATTTATTTCCTTTTCTAAACACTAAATATAATGAGTGGATACATTCAACAAAGATAAAAACTGTTTATAAAATTGCGCTTCTATGCATACGTAACAAAATATGAAAAATAATTAATTTAAAAAAAAAAAAAAGAACTAGTGCTTTTGGTTGGTTTCTTCTTAAATAAATAACATTAAAAAAAATAATTAAAAAAATATGGTACACATTATTTTTGAGAGTACTAAAGTTTACAAAAGTAGGTGACTAGAAAACCTTTAAAAGGTTTTTTTTTCTTTCTTTCTTTCCATTTTAACATTGTTAAAATATAAATGAAAGTTAGAAATTTTAAAACATTAATTATCAATAAATGCACTTTTCAATAAAATTCGAAACAAATTCATCTAACTAAAATAACAACAAAATTTTTCGCTATTAAAATGTATTTTAAAATTGAAGATTCTTTTATTAGATTAAAATTTAATTAATAACAAGGTTTTAATCATCTTTCTCACAGTTGCGACAGTTTTTTTTATCCTAAACCTCTCCAATTTAGTAATATTTCCTGTTATGGGGTTTTTCCCAATTAGGGAGCGTATTGAGATAAATATAATACAAACTTGTAGCATAAACGACAAAGTTTAATAGGAAATCTGCAAAATTATAATTTAACTTGTTTAAAAGGAATGGCTTTAAAAAGATATTCTGTTTAAAAAGAAAAAAAAACATGCTAACACTTTTAAAATATTTCATCATTTGTTCTTTGTTTTTATTGGCTCTGGATACTATAATAATAGATTTCTTTCGCATTTGATTTGTGTGAAGCTTAGATAAATATACATTGGAATTTAACTCTGGATATACATATTTGATTCGTTTTAATCCTTAAAAAAGTGTTTCAATTGATTGAATAGATTTAGGCATACGGCTGTCAATGTTATTAACAGTGTGCAAACTAAATCTTTAACTGTCACAAAGCAAAGTACAAAGACAATTTGCATCAAGTCTATTAATTTTTTCTTCTTCATTCAGAATAGCTCAAAAGAAAAAGAATTTTTTTCAAAAACAAATTGTAATTTTTGACAAACATTTGAAAATAACTTCATTACGTAGCATATACATGACTTCAGTAACAAATACTACTAAAAACACGATGAAGAAAATAATAGTAAAAATATTGTTTGTGTGACAAAATAGTTAAGAAAAACAAAGAAATATTTAAAGAGTTCTTGTTCAAGTACTTTAACATCTATTTTTATGAGAACGTAATAATAATTGAGACAGGTATTTAAAATGACTGGTTTATCAAAATCATACATCAATGTATAGGATCAATAATATAATCAATATCATAAAATAATATTTTAGTAACTAATAGCATAACAAGCTTTGTTCACATTTCAGTGAAATTCACAAAGCACCATTTTAATTCGGTTGGATCTTTTATGACTGTAGAGCATGTATCTGTAAGTAATTATGTTTTGCAGCGATGGATAGCAGAAATATTCCATTTCAATTACTGTCTTACTTTGTATAATTATTTATTTTTGAAATAAATGTGTAATGATTTGGGACATAAACATTTAAGTAATATGATATCTAATAAAAACAAAACTTATTCAACTCACGGTCCCCCTTTTTTTGCCCCATCATGGAAAATAGAACAATCTTTTTTTTTTTTTGTAGCAACATTTTTAGCCTAGAGCCATTTTCAATTTTTAGTTGATGGTTATTTTTATAAAAGCAGAAAGAAAAATTAGTCATAGAAACCAAAGCATAAAAAAAATTTACTAGTAGGTACATATTTTCACAAATCTGCCCCCCCCCCTACTTAATTTATGAACAAGAATGCCTTAATATTAAATAGACTTAGAAGAAAATTTAAAAAATATGTAACAAAAAAAATAAGAAAATATTTTGATAGTTAACTAATTAAAAATGCAAATGAAACTTAATGTAGGACATAAATGTTATCATTATGTTTCATGGGATAAATGTTACAGATTAACCATTATAGATAATTATACTAAAAGTTAAAAAAAAGAGCAATAAAAGTCATAATAGATGAAAAACTACAGAGAATGTCATATGTCTAAATATGATTAAGTATGCTATTTTTTCTCAACAACTTAGATGGAAATACCAAACCAAATCAACATACCATCTCATTATACTAAAATGGTAATTGGTGGCTGCTATAAAAAACCACAAAACATTACATATCATAGTGGCCTGAGCAGAAATTTAGCCTTCCCAAAATCAACATACCACTCTTAATTTTGTACATATAAGATATACACAAAATATATTCCACAATTTACAAAAATTTGTTTTAGCAGAGTATCACCTAAACTCAAAGATTTAAATAGAAAGAAAAAAAAGATTTTACTGCCACTTTTTACTTTTTTAGACACAACTATTATTCCTGATGATACAAAATCATAATTGAGAGCAAAGGATGTTTAAAATAAGAGCTACGTTTTAATTTTATTGGTCAAAACTCAATTAAAATAAAAATTGTATGGTTAACTTAGAAACTAACAATTTTTAGATATTTTTTTATAAAATTTTAATTATACAGTTCTCTTTTCAAAATAGCTACTTCAAACTTAAGTTGCATAAAATAGCAATAACTCATAACTTATATTTTTTTCTGTGTAATAGAGTGTACAATAAATAATTAAAAGAAAATCTTTTTTTAAAAAAATTTCACACAGAATGCTTAGCTAGATGAATGATATTTTATATTTGTAGCAGCACTGTGAGTCTCATTACTTTTTAAAAATAAGCCTGCAACAGACACTCTCAGCCTATGGCTTGTAGGCTATGTGTGACCCTTGAAGCCTTTCAACTCGATTTCTGAAGTGTTTTAAATATTAATGAAATTTTTAAAAAAATGAACAACAGAGAAATCTTTTTTTCTGTGCTCAGTTAGAAGTTACTGATTTTTCTAAGTATCAAAATTGAAACCAATAGCATTTTGCAATTTTTGTTTAATACTGTGAGTTTGGTGCTTACAGCAAAAAAATGTAATTTCGTACAAATACAGAGGAAAAATTGTAAATTAAAAAAGAACGCTAAAAATAAAATTGTTTTTAAAAGATATAAAACATTTAGAGAGGGAATTTTTTTAAAAAAAAAAAAAAAAAAAAAAAAAAAACAATTTGAAAAATAAACTGAGAAATTTACTTATCTGTGGTGAATAATCAAGCGCTTAAGACGAAATAAACTTTCTATTAAGGAAATGTTACCTTTCATACCTTTTTTTAAAAAAAAATAATGAACAAAAAGTTCAAAATCGTAATAACATTAAAAACTACCTATAAAAAAGGAAAAGTGCTCCAAAATAAAAATATCATAAAAAATAGGCGTTAACTATAAAAAAAACAACATTTTTTAATATTGTGCAAAACCTAGTAGCATCAACAAATAAACCAAAATAATTCCTTTTAAGGGATCAAGCACACACACAGTAACAAAAAAAACATGATGTAATGTTTTTAGCAGGTGTTAAGAAATTTGGATTATTATTTAAAAATATAAACATACATCAAAAATCAATGTTTACCGATTATATAGTCAGCTCTGGCAAAAGACAAAGCATCATTGAATGTAAAACTAGCCTTTAATAGAGCCTATAAGATTTTATATTAAAAATGATCAACGGTTTAAATTACATTTAGGCTTGGTTTACAATTAGCAATCAATTATGTTGTAAAAAAGATACAAACATCAATTAAAATTCACAGGTTTCTAATAATTGGAAACATTCAAAAAGGAATTATTAAATAGAATGACAGTGATGTAAATTATGTATACTTTGTAAAACACAATTTTTCTATTCTTATTGTGAATAATAAAAGAAATTTAGTAGTCTTTAAATATTTTGCAAGTCAATCATATTCTATAGAATAACATTCTCGTGTCTTATTTATTGCCATCTAATATTCTCCTCTCAGGTATCAATTAATTCTAAATTCTGCATGACTATGTTTCTATAATCAGATCACTATAAAATAATTTCCCGAACTAGCAATAAAAATAAAGGAATGTTATGCTGTTTTGGTTTTTTGATTTTGAATCTTGGTTTCAGGTTCAGTCATAATTGTAATTTTTTATTTAAATTCTCTTATTTATTCTCTCATTCTCTTAAATTTCTTACTTATAAATTTTTTTCTCCAGAAAATCCATTACATAATAATAGAGACATGAAAGCAGGCTCGAAAAAATTTGTCTAAACTAGTAATATCTTTGAATTACTAGCCTTTTAGACCAGTGATAAAATTTGGTTAATATATACCCCTGTTCTAATTAAAATATATATCAGTACGCATACACAATGTTTTTTGAAGGGTGAACCACCCTGCCTGCCCTTTTATCCCTATAAAGATGCCCTTTATGTAAAAATAAGCTGCCATCCCTTAAAAACACTGTCTTTTTTAAATTTATATTCCATGAAAAAAAAAACAATGTTAAAATAACAATAATACACTGGTAAAATTATCTATATTTATAGATTTAATTCCCTTTACCATTACAAATATTTACTTTGATCGGACTATTCGCAGCTCGTTAAATTTTTATAAATATCTCTTTTTTTATTAAAAGATTAATAAATTTTTTTAGGATTTTAAATTTTAAAATTATGTTTTAAATAAATACAATTTTATTTTAGAAGAGAAAAAAAAACACTCCTTTAAATATTCATTTTCTTATAATTTTCAGTTTAAATTTATAAGCTTGTAAGTTCACACTGTTTTTGAAAAAAATTTATGCACAGAAATTGTCTTTTAGCATGCTTTTATTATTTTAATAATAAGGAGAAAGTATTTTTAAAAATATACACATAAAATAGAATAAGAGGGTAGTATAAAAATTATCGAAAATCAAATTCAGTAATTACATATTAAAGTAGGGAACCGATTATCCGAAACGATCGGGACCATCGCTCTTCCGGATAACTGATATCTCTTGTTTTCTGAATCGCTACAAAAAGCCGTTTTTTTATTGTTAAACCCAACTAAAAAAATATATATATTTGGAAATAATCTTAAAAAGAAGAAAAAACGATGAAGTAATACACTAATGATTATTTCCAAAATGATGGCAACATTTCAAAAAAGAAAGAAAAATCCCAAAATCTTATGAGGGAAAAAACATTTTTTTAAAAAAATGGCGGGAAAATTTATCGAATTTCGTTCCGGTTTTTTTGGTTTTCCGATTTCCGGATAACAGGTTCTGTACTGTATTACATTATCGATAACTCTTCATGTTGACATATAATATCTAAGTCAACATGCTTGCTTCGAGCTATGAAAACTCATTATTATTCTAGGTGTACAGCCTTTCTTCGAGATGTGGCAAATAAAAAAAATTGCATAACAATAATTTTATTTTGCAGGCTGCAAAAAACCTATACTGAGTCGATAAAGAACAATAACAATATGTCTAAAAACATTATAAGAGAATGTATTGCATATTTTTGAATTTAAAAACATTTCAGTCATAAATAATATTCTTTAATAGAAGTAAATTGTATAGGGTTTAAACTTTTTCAAAACTAATTTTATTATTTTTTGTATATAAATTACTTTATTAATCCTATAATTATAGTTTTAAACATACTTTAGATGAAAAGAAAAGTTCTTTGATCGAAAATAGCTTTTAAATCAAGAATGAAGTTTGTCTGTGAAGACAGGTTGCATAGTCCCAAATAATATCAACAAAACAGATCAAGGTGATGTAAAATTGTATTTTTATTAAATTGATTTTTCGGGAAAAATGTGGTCATTAACTAAGACTTAATTATATATTAAAAAAGTATAGTAAGATTGGAGCTAATGTGAACTTACTATCCATAAACATGTTTGCTGAGCTAGCACTAAATATGTGGAAAAAGATTATCAGCATGACTAAAACATTGAAACTTCTGAACGAAATATTCCAAGATCTATCTATTTCTGGGACTGGAGTTTCATAATACAGTCAAGGTGAATTTAAAGAATCTCTATAAAAACCTAAAATTGCATTTAACTAATAAAAAAATGCAGGGTAGCAAAAAATAATTTAGGAATATCTCCTTCCAACCCAGAAACTTATATAACTTTATGACAGTTGAAATTAGTTTCATTAAAGTATTATAATTTATTAAAAACATTAGTATGCATCGGCTATATTTTATAATGCAATAAAAATTAGAGTGGCTCTATACAACTAAACAAATATTCTGTCCAATAAAATTGTCTAATAATTAATAGTGAATTAAACCAGTACTGTTTTAAATAAATATTGAATAATTAATAAACAATCTCCAAATAATTAGTTTTTTTATACATAAATTTAGGTTACTAATAAGGCAATATATAAACTTTTGCACTGCTTGGCACATTATGTAATTTGTTTAAATCATAATGTATTACAATAGTAACTTTCAGGTTATTTTGTTAATTATCAAGCATGCACAGATAATGGCGTATAGAGATATAAAACATAATAAACGGCTGGCTAATATTAATGAACTTTACCAGAAATTTACGTCCATTTAAACATTCATTGTGATAGCACAATTCCGTAGTATTTATCCAAATATCGTCACACTTTATTTCTGGATACAAATTACTCAGGTAATCCAATAAATGAAAAATCACACTTAAATATCCCACAAAAAACACTTCACCGGAAACTTGTCATGCACAATCTATATCCATAAATAGTTTTCACATAAACAAACCAGCGATCGTTTCCTACCTTGGACAACACGAAGCAATCGCACGTTTTCGTCAGACGATACGAGAGACAGTATTCGGAATAGCTTACGTTCTCCGCATTGTTTTAATCATTATTAATTAAGAGTCAAATGGCAACACTAAAATATTATTTCACTAGATTACTCAAAATGATAACTCATAATCCAAAAGAGACTACGCAAGCGATAATTTTAGTATATAAATCGTGAGGGAGTGATGTAGAATTTCACTGGATTTTATCGCTTGCAACTTTGGAACCGCGAAGACTGCTCTGATGCCGAACAAACAAGCTTATTGGAGCTCGGAAAATGGGAGGCGCTAACTTTATGCAGAGGGGTGGGCAGAAGCTTCTACCAGCCACAGTATACATAAACAAGCTATGATATCCAGTTTTATGGACGGGTTGAAAGAAAACTTTTTTTAAGTGCATAATTTTTTTGTACATTTTTTTATCTTTCATTTTGCAGCGAGAAAACGAATGATGGTTTTTCATCTATCATCGTATTATGCGGAAGGGTTGATAAAAAAAAATATGCGTTCGAGAAATGCAGCACTAAATTAGGGCCAGTTTTTTTCCAAGTTACCACAGCACAGAGATTAAATAACACAAGGGATGCAATAAATCGAAAATATCAACAAAAAACTTATATCTTACGCTCTTACTTGATGAATGCTTGTATTTCTTTTATTTTATTTATTATTATAATCGCGTTTCTCGAACTCAACTAAAACTTTTTTACTAGCAGAAAACCTAAAAAACATTCAATTTAATCAATCTTACGAGATATCAAAAAATATCTGATTTCTTTGAAAATAAAATCAAATCCAATGTTTCAAACTAAAATTAAATTCAAAAGTAATATTCATTATATTTTTTATACTACTCATGCATGTAAGAATTTAAGAAATTCGGCTTTCCTTAATTAAGGGGTTCTAAGTCCGGGGCTTCATGGACTAAGCGATTAACAGACCTTGAGTGTAGCTATCAAAACAAACAATCACGAGTGTTCTTCTATTATTATTATTAATATTTAAAAAAATACTAATTGTTTAATGGTAGAAATATTTGAATAGAAATTGCCTAATATTAACTACGTAATAATTTTAATGGCTAAAAAGTAAATAAAAAAGGGGGAGATATTTAGAAGCTGAAAGGGAATAAATATCATAAGATTTTTTTATTTTATGAAGTTGATTAACCTTTTTGTAAGAGAAATTAGATCGTAAATATTTATAAACAATTTTTAACTAAAAATTTTATCTAAATTCAGATTTTGAATTAAATCATGCTTTATACATAAATTTATTAACCAGTGTTACCAACCTGCTCGAAGCATAAGAAATGTACTTCACTTAATAGTAGCAACATTTACATTATTTTGTAAAAGAAAAAGAGAAGAATGAATTTGTAAAAAAAAATCTATTAGTTAGGCAATTATGCTTTTAAAAATAGCCTTAATAAGAAAGTTTTCAAACTTTTACCACCGTTAAACTAGGTTTTTCGAATTTTTATAAAAAATTTAGACGAAAAAGTATTTACATGGAGGTACTAACTTAACATAAACGATTCACTATAACTAAAAAAAAAATAAATAAAAAAATAAAAACGAAAACTTTGTCAAAATCTGATAAATTATGGTTTATGGTCAAGGAAGGCAGGTGTAGGAAAGAACCAAAACCTGCTTGATTGCAGAGATGACATGAGTAAGAATAAAAGATGAACATTTTATACAACGATACTGAAAAGATTTCGAATTAATTCCTATACAGTTAAGCCTGTAATCAAGTAAGAGAAAAAAATTCCTATGTTCTCCTAATTCAGTTTTTCAATTTTTATTCGAAACAAGCTACAATATGTTTTAAAAATGAGTCGCAGAAATTTCTTCCGAATTATTTATTTACTTTTTAAAAATAAAAAGATATCTTAAAGACGAAAAGTAGTCTGCAGATTTTGTAACAATCAGCATTTTAAAGTCAGACAAAAAAAAAAATTCTCTTTTTTTTTTTTAATTTAATCGTAAATTAAATTACACGAATATTGAGTGAAAATTTGTAATTTTAGAGGGACCTATGTCATTTTCTTTTAGAAAAAATTAGGGGTCTAAAACCCGACTGACTCCCCTGTTCCATGGTTATTGGCGCCCCCTGCCGAGCAGGAAGATTTCTCTTACCGGATTGGTGAGCAGGAAGGTAATGATAAAAACGTAACTAGTTGAGCTAATTATTTATATAATTAATTTCTAACTGTGTCTTTTGTCTTCTTTAAAATACTTTCGCATTTAAAAACAAACAGCGAAAGAGTTATGAAAAGAGAAAGTGATGTTACGCAATTTGTTTATGGTTGCGTCGCATCAGTGCCCGGCTGCAACCCAACCTTATCATTATCACTCCCAGACAGAATATCAATCACTGTCACCTACTCAAAACTGATTATTTAAAAAAAATTACAATTCAGACAAGTGAAAAAAAAAGAAGAAAAACTCTTATTTTTTTTTTTCTTTATAAAAAAGGATCCCTCTAAAAAATATAATAAAATAAAAAAATAATAACAATAAATAATAATAAAAAATAATAATAAATAATAATAAAAAAAAGCAATAATTAAAAAAGTTCTCTATAAAAAAGTGCCATTAATAACTTTATCAAAGATGCAACTTTACCTGCCTTAATAATTTTTGTTTTTTTGAAGTGGTCACAACATTTATGTTTTAGTGTATAATCCTAAGTTTAATTAATTTGTTTTAACATTATTTGTTCACCACTGCACATGAATAATTTAAAAGTTCGTGAAAAAGACCATTCCCCCCCCCCCNCCCCCCCCCCCCGTCGATTCTTGGTGAGCCGATAAATTTTATAAAAGATAATAGGTAGAGCCGTAGTGGCTCAGAGGATAAATTGTTCGCCTTCCAATGAGGTGAATTGAATTCGAATTCCAACGAAGGCTGGTCTATACGAATTCCGCACCCGGCTCGCACCGACCGCAGTGCTGACGAAAAATATTTTCAGTGGTAGACGGATTATACGTTAGAGTTCCCTTCAGGCGAGCCGTGGGAGGTTTTCCTAACCATCTTACGAAATACGAGATAGTTCCATTAAAAAGTCTTAAACGAAGACAAACTTTTTCCAATACTTCATTCAGGAGTTCCCTTGTCTTCTGGATATGGCTCTAAATTACAAGGCTACGGAGTTGAACATCAGTAGCCGTAAACCCGTAATTGCGTCGGCTGTTCAACAACGATTATAAAGACAAATAAATAAAGTAAATAATTAAAATAAATGAATAAAATAAATAATTTAAACAAATAAATAAATAAAATAAATAAATAAAAAATAGTTTAAGGTTCCAATTCTCTACCACTTCATAAAATTTTCTGCTGAATGCGAAGCAACTGGTTTGACCAACCCTTTTTAGTTGGTTCTGGTAAAGACAAAGGTCACTAAAAATTTATTTTCGCTTTTGAACAAAAACCAATCTTTAATTTTATGAAAAACTTTCTAGGTTCATTTTTCATTTGAAAAACAATGTAACAAACATTTAAAAAATGTTAAGCATTTCTGCTGATAAGAGAATGAGTAATCAAGGTCAAACTTTCAGATTATAAATTTATATAAGATGATTAAAGTTATTGATGAACGTGACCATAAGTTGAAAGCAAACCCATTTTATGAACTTTAAACTTGCTTTATAAGATATAGATTAGCTAAGATTTTTCCCCTTAATATTTTATGTTTTACACTATATGGAGTTTTCATTTTATTAAAATAATTAATTACTAAATAAACTTTCAATAAATAATTGATTATATGCATTTCTGACAAAAATTTCTATTTAAGGACCCTATTTTAATAAATCATCATACTCTACTTATGTATTATATTAATTTTCTAACACTAATTATTTGATATAAGTAATTTATATCTATTAGTTCATTTTCAAAAAACATTCTCCTACTTTTCAATATAAATGACCGAGATCATTAAAATATTCGGCTTTTTTTCTACCCATTTTAATAATTCATACTTTACAGATCTATTTTATTAATATTTTAAAAGTAATTATTTTATGGGAATAATTTATATTCAGTTCTTCTTTGAAAGATATTCTAATACTTTTCAATATAAATGACTGAGAGACAAATTATCGTTAAAATATTCGGCTTTCTTTCTGTCTATTTTAATAATTCATACTCTACTGTTCTAATGTATTAATTTTCTAAGAATAATTATTTGATATAAATAATTTATATCTAATAGTTAATTTTTTAAAAATATTCTCCTGCTTTTCAATATAAATGACCGAGAGACAAATTATCATAAAAATATTCGTCTTTCTTTCTATCTTTTTTAATAATTCATACTGATCTAATATATTAATTATCTTTTAAGAATAACTATGGGATATAAGTAATTTATATCCAACAGTTAATATTTAAAAAATATTTCTTAAAAATTAAAGAAAAAAAGCAGCATCTGATTTGGCATTAGATTCTAAATATCCTCCCACTTTTCAGTATAAATGACCGAGAAATTTAAATTTAATGTGATAATAATTATTATATTATGGGTTAATGATAATAATTATTATCATCAATTCTTTGACGCAGATAGGTCACCGGTGTCTCTTTTATATATATTTTTTTGGCGCTCTAATTACAAGCAAAAATATATTTTGGTAATCATTAATTATTAAAAAACAGTCTAATAGATACGAAAAATATTTAATAGGAGATTATAGAATTATATTTGAACTAAAATGAAAAATCCAAATAAGGTTGTTAATTTTTTTTTCTTTTCTTTTTACATTCATAATCAATAATTGATTCTGTCAATTAAAGAAATTTCAATAATAAATAACTGTTTCTCTTAGATCTAAATAACTACAAATAAATGTAAATTTTAAAAATTATTGCTTAAAAGTATACCGTGTTTAGAAAATTTTACCTTTAACGCAGAAAAAGATGCTAATGTTTCATGCTGTATTTCATAACCATAAATTATTTAAAAACTAAATATAATATTTTTTACTTATTTTGACCTAAATTAATACAAAATAGTGAAAACAGTATGAAAAATATGTTTAATAAAAATTCTGCGTCAAAGGGTTAAAATATTCGGGGTTTCTCTCTCTCAGTTAATATTTAAAAATTATTCCTCAAAATTAAAAATAAAACGCAACATCAAATTTGTTTTGTTCAAACGCCAACGCCAAATGTCTATTATTTATAAGAGAAATACAATTATATACTTAAAACTGTGAACGACTTTGAAAGGGCGTCAATAGCAAGGAAGAAAGTACAGACGGACCATTAAAAATGC